GAAAGTACTTAAAAGTATTCCTAATATTCTAGAACATCTTTTTGATCAGAAGACTGAATAGCTTTACTTAGAAAATGAACCAAATCAGGAAAAAAAAATTGCACATTTGGGTAAAAAGGAATTCTAATTTATTGGGATATAGCTCATTCATTTGCTGGTTAGAACTGTAGGCATCGGTTTGTAACTAAAGCTGAGAAGTAGCTTTATGTTAGTCCAGTTGACATGTCATTTAGAGTCAACACATTTTCCCCTCTTGCAATTTCAATTGTCACAACAAGGCAGGCCTTCAGAGTAGGCAGCTATGATGTCACCTGATGGAGGCCGGAAGGGAAATCCTTTCCCAAAGTGGTTCACTCTCAATATATTCTGGGGTCTGAAATTGTGCCATCAGACATTTATTTCTTGGATTACGAAGAAGTAATCCAAGATTACGAAGAAGTAATCCAAGAAGAATTTACTTAAAAAGTGCAAATACTCAAGGATGGATGACTCATTAAGCATTCCACCGTATTTTAACCTGACCACTATCTGAGAGTGTACTGGACATGTTGGTTTTATCCTTCACTTTCTTCCCAGCAATGGGCTATACCTTCCTTTAAGGGAGTGCTTTTCTCCCAGTCTGGCTCTGTGCTTCTGGTGGGAACTGTCAGTCAGAACAGTCTTCTTCTCCACCCATATTTCCCTTCACCCCACTGTGACCGAAGCCTGTCCAACCATAGTTCCCTACCCATGGCCACAAAGATTGGTTCATGTTGGGTACCCAAGCCAGCACAGAGTTTTTTCGTGTACTTTTTCTCACTGGGGCTGGTGGGAAAATGCTTCCTTTCTTTTTTGGAGCATAGATAAGGAGGGCAGCCCATAGCTGCTTTTGGCCATGTGTCCAGTCTCTTCTGATATCCTACTTGAGAGAATGACGTCTCTACGCAGAGAGACGCAGAGATGAGAGACACAGAGTGGTATGTGAGAACCTGAATCCATTGGACTCCAAGACGAGTGGCAGGCCCTTTCTTAGTTTGTTTACACTTGTGCCAATAAATCACCCTTTCTCCTTAAGCTGTTATGACTGGGGCATCTGTCATCTGCAAACAAATGTTTGAGAACTGAAAACAAACATTTTATAAAAGGGCACAAGATAGAAGGGGAGGGGTGGTGTTCTGGTCGAGGAATGTGTGTGGGAGGTGGGTCAACCCTAATTATTCTGTGGTTAAATGGGGGTCATTGTGTATTGAAGTTACCGACATCTGTTCAGACTTTACTTTCAAGTGAATTGAGAGGTGGAGCAAGGTGACAAAGTCTCTGAGAAAGAGAGCTAGTATTACTCTGCACCCACAATGGCTTGACAGTGTCCTGGGCTATTGAATTCAGGGTGAGGCTGCTTGAGACTCATGGGAGAGTAAGGATATGCAAATATTTGACTTAAGATCATAGTCCTATATGTCGGTCTACTGTACCAAATCAGAGAAGCAACATGTAGGTCCAAATCGAAGTCACTGTTTTCAACCATAATTGATGTTGGAAAACCTGGCTTTATTTAAACTTATGTCTGTTCATAATGCATTAGGGTTTATTTGTTTCTTTTATCTGTACTGGTAGTTTGTTTGTTTGTTTGTTTTTTAAACAGAAATATAGAGGAAAAAATGGGCAAAGAAAGAAAGGTGGAATTTAATGTTTTCTATTCTCTCCCAAACAATTAGAGTTCTGGTACCTTGGTATTATTTTAATTTTGATCTATCAAAATACCAAAGGGGCAACATTGTCATTAGGCAGCAAATGACATAATTTTTTTTTCAATGAGAGTAATAAGAATTAAATACCTTGCAATATCTTTTTCCACTAGATTAAAAATACAGTAGAGAAGTCCAAAGCTTCTCTCATGTGAGCTGGAGAACTTCCTCCAATGTGCTGTGCAAGCACTATCAGCTTCTTCTTATGCAGCCAATTTGAAATCTGGCTATGATGCTTCGGAATAAAGACCTTTAAATGGATAATCTTCTCTAATGGATTTTATTCTTTTAGGTTTCATGG